TATGTTCGATATATATACTGTATACATATATATTTTTTTTTTCTCCTGCCTCCAACTCCCACCTGGTATATTTAATTGAATTAAACATACAATATGACCCATTAGTTTTCTTTATTTAGTTGCTTTACTACCTACCATTATATAAATGTAATTATACTGAATTGGATTATATGAAATGAGATTGGTTTAATTGGACAGGATGGGACAGAACTTGATTGGTTTGGTTTGGACATAAATAGATTTAAATTTCAGCTTATTTGCTTTTTTAAGGTGTACTTAAAAGTGTTTATTTTTTTGTGTGTGTTTTATTATATGATCCCAAATTAAAGAAAATAATTGATGAAATGTTAAATATTACCCCCCAAAAAAACATGAATCTGTTATTATTACAGGACTTTCAAATGATCACTTGCCTTGAGCTGAGCGGCCCAGTCTCTTGAAGCATCCAAAAYATTTCCCAGTCCACCACTTGTCAACCCATCAAAGACCTGGCTGAGTTTCTCAGGTGGGACAGCTGAGGTAATGTAGTTATAGAAACATGCTGACTTGGCCAGGGTAGAGGAGATCTGTGGGCAGGAGCACAGTCCCTCTCGAACACACTGCTCCAGAGAGCGTGAGAAACAGTTTACCCGAGAAACTCCAAAACCYTGCTCCCACGACTCCTCCCAGTCTCCTTCCTCTCCGCCAGCACCATGGCCRTTTCTGATCCCTTGCTCTGCATCGTTCCCGTTATTGGCCATCTCTGTGTTATCTCCAACCTGTCCGTTATTGAGAGCAGGTGGGAACAAGAAACCAGGGAGATAGCACGGCCTCGCCGTTGTCGTTGCCAGGAAAGGGTCTGCCACGACACAGAACGCTCTCCCAGACACGCCGTGAGATTGACAGACTTCATCAAATTCTGCGAGCACACGACTGCCAGAGCTTCCACCGCTCAGTGGGAGGCATGCCAGCAGAGCTGAGCGGATCCGCCAATCAGATGCAAGATAATGGCAGGTGACACCAAGATACCTAGAAAGAAGAAGAGAGAAGTGACTCTAGAGAGAGGGATTTTTTTTTTTAAAAAAAAAGGTCCTGATTTGCGGTTTGACATTTCGTTTACCACCTCACCCCGAAGTGGTTTGAGTYGAGCTGCTCCAAAGATCCAGGCTGAGACTGAGGGTCTGAGCTGATGCCAAGGCCTGACGGGTCGCCAGCTGGGCCTGGTAAGCATAGGCTGGAAGAAGCTGGCCCTGAATGTAGTGCTGCGGCTCAGGAGTGTAACGGGGCTCCAAAAGCTGAAGCAACTCTCTGAAACCTTGATTTTCCACTATGGACACTGGCTGCAGGTCGCACACGATCATCTTAGCTATCGCCTCAGAGATCAGAACCTGCAGGGACAAAATAAATAAAAAGAAGACAATCAAATTTAAATGATTTATTTTAACCAGGCAAATCCCTCAGAGATCCCAGAACTCTTTTTCAAAGKAGGCCTGGGCCTGAAGGCAACCTGTTGTATATGTTTTTGGGGTGTGGGGGGAACCAGAGTACCAGGAAAAAACCCACGCGAGCATGAGGAGAACATGCAAACTCCACACAGAAAAACCCCAGGTTCGAACTGGGGATCAAACCCAGGACCTTCTTGCTGTGAGGCGTCAGTGCTAACCACTGATCCACCGTGCTGCCAAATCACGAATCGAGCCATGTTTCAGACCTTGAACATTATAACTGACAGAAAACAAACTTTGTTACACAGACAGTAACTTCAATAGATTAGCCTCGTTAATTGAGTTGTGTTTGACGACCGAATGCAGAGATTTTATTTGTACAGTAAGTCCACGTGATGTCTGGACAAAAGTACAATACCAATAATACTGCTACATAACACAACATGCAGATGCACTTAGGCCTCATGGAAAATACAGTATATGTCAAGTCTGAATATTTTATAAACCTACTAAAGCCTAAATCCCTTGCTGTCAGTGAGGTACAATGCCTTGATTCAGTCAGAGTAAGGTAACAAAACAAGTCGATTGTATCCTTGATTTTCTTTGTGTTTTATTTTTCTTCTTTGTTTGGTTAGTTATGTTTATAATCTAGACATTTTAATAAAATCACAACAGTTATCATGAACGCTGTTTGCTAAATGCATGTTGTTTAATAAAACACTTTTGTCACATTCAAGTAAAATAATGTTTCAGCATTTTCTTTGTTGCTAATCTATAGTTAACATGGTAAAACCAGCCCAGAACTGTGTAGAAAGACAAGGCTAGTCTATAGCAGTGTTTCCCAAAGTTGGGGTCGGGACCCAATTATGGGTCATGAAGCACCTTGGATAATCTCCAGAAATCAATTTAAAGGGTAATAAAATAATCGCTGATGTAATATTTTCCCTATAATTATTCCAAAAACACAAAATAAGTAAAAACAAGTATTTATATTTGTGTATAAGCTGTTTAGATTGCCAAAAAGCCTGTGTTTTTAGGGTTATTAACGAAGTTCATGTACTCAGACCAGTAATATTTGGGGTCACAAGTTTTTGCCATGGATATTTCGTGGGTCAGAAGACAAAACGTTTGAGAACCACTGGTCTATAGTATACTAAAACACTAAAATTGCTGGCACCCTTAAACAATTTCAATCTTTGCCAAATTTGATTGACTCGTCAAACCCAAGAACCATCCTGACCATCCTCTTCATGAGACTTGTTGAAAAACAGTGTCTTCAGTCGGAGGCTTCCTCAATGTCGTACWACAGACAGCTACAGAAGATCTTTCCTGCCCACAGCCATCACCATCCACAATAACTCTTTAGTTAAATGAGTTACAACAACATCTAATTTCCCTCCTGGATCAATAAAGTATTTTTGAATTGAACTGAATTTAGTTGGGTCTGACTGAYGGTCATATTACATGTATGTAAAGGTACACAACACATTAAAACTGGACTGTTGTGGAAGTCTTATCTGTTCTCTCTGCACATCACATAATTGGTAATATTATCTGTAAAATAAGAAAGTGAAGTACATCAGTTTGCAATTTTTTAACTCTTATATTGCCAAAGTTTTCAAATGACTGTTTTACAAGAACAGCATCGTGGAATTTTGGAAATTCTTTATGGCTTTTGGTTTTGATGGGGCACCCCTAGATTTTTACTGGCCCCCAATCAGAAAATTCTGGACACTGGATGCAGGTTATGCAAAAAGCAAATGGGCCTTAGATGGGGAGAAAATGGATGTAAGGGAAGACGTTTCATTGCCATTTGTAAGGGTTCTTAAAGTTCGGCGGACTGTGACGGGTACCTGACGTGGGTCATGCCTGTCAAACTTGGTCAGCCCTGCTGCTCCAGAACCTCCTCCTGCGCCTCCCTCCAGGGTCCCCACTCCTCCAGCACCTCCTGCAGATSCTCCACCTCCAGCTGACACAGGGAGAGTCAGGCGGGGGTTTCCTCCGGTGGTGGTGAAGCTGTGCAGGCAAGCAGAGGAATAACCCTCTCTCTTCATATCCTTCCTTTTCACAAAGTCATCATACATAGCAGGGTGTTTACGCTGAACGAGACAGACACAAGACAAAAACATTGTTMAGATTAACATGATCAACTGARAATAACTCTCCCAGCAGAGAAGCAACAGCCTATTTTTTATGCTGATTCAATAGAGAAAATGCTGTAGATGTTCCAAATGCAGATGAGTATTAAGTTAAATGAAAACACTACCTTGAGATGAGTAACGAAGTTGGACGTAACGCTCCGTTTCGCCTGGATCCTGGTGCCACACGCCTTACAATTGGACTCGATTTTGCCATTTTCGCCTTCGAAGACAATATTAAAGTAATCCAGAATGGACACCTTCGAAACTGACGCCATTGGAGACGACGGCAGCTCCTCCGCTCCGGAATGAAACCGGGCAAGTCGCGACGAAGATCCGGGGAAATAATGTGAGGAGGAGTCAGATGATGAGGAATCAGCCTCAGCTCCGATCATGAGCGCAGGCCGGCGTGTTTACATCCCGAGCCGGGGGCCGTGACAGCAAAACGCTTGTAGGACTCCTAATAAACAAATGGCAGAAATGAAATCCACGCATCCGTAAATCGTTCGCAGACGAGAGGAGCAGCTGCGGGTGGGCTGGAAACCTCCGCACCACTATCCTGAGGCCAGCATTCGAGCCTCCTGCGCTCCGAGCCGCAAGTGACGGGGGGCATGCAGACTGGTGGGTCACAGCTGGACCAGGAAGTAGGCCTACGAACTCACGGGACGTTCGGGTCCAACATCGAGTTTTCCCGGTAATGTTCGGCTCTTACCCAGCTGATCGGATGTGACAGTTTCCAAAAGGACCTGAAACATTATTTTTTTTTTTGTCCCTGTTCAATGAAAGATAGGCAGTGGTGGTTAATAAGAGTTTATTAACATAAAAAGTATTCTGGCATTTATGCTTTTCTGCCAAAATGTAGACAATAAATTGCTTATTTGTAGCTACTTTTGTAAGAAATTAAACATGATTTTGTCTCACTTTGCAAGCGTGTTTTGACGTTATTTTAAAAATTGCTAGAAACCATTGAGCTGGGTTACCAAGTGGCTATTATGATCCATGCATTTATCACTTCTAGCTTGTTTGATCTAATTATTGATCTGAGAACAAATAAATGAAGGCGATTCGAGCAAAATTCTTTCAGATATTTATTTCATTTGTACCAGCCATTTTCTGAAAATGTCCATGCAGGTTAAGCTTAATGTTAATATTTCTCTCAGTTAAAATCTACTGCACATACAATATTACGACAAGAAATATTCACAAATTTATTTTGAAAAATAGTACAAGGTCAAACAGCTGTTTACAAGAAATCACAAGACAGAAACAACAACATTCCTGAAAAAAAAAAACATTCTTGCTGAATTTTTATTCCTCGTTATGTATCGACTCGATTGCTGACAGAATTTCGGTGTCCTCTTGTTTCGATCCAGTAGCATCTTTTGGGTCACCCCCGTCGCCAGCAGAGACTTTGGATTGTTCTCCTGAAGTGACTTTGTTTGCAAAGCCATTCCTCAGCTCCTCTCTGGTGTTTAAAACTGCAATCTGAAGTGCTGCAACCTCAGCAGAAAGCTCTATTACTGTAACAGGACAGACAGCAGAATGGTAAAGTAATTTCATTAGTGTTAATAAAGTAATCGTTTATCCTGAACACAAGCATTATCCTTGTGAAGTTCTAATTAACACTTAAATAATATACCACTTTTGAACATGTTTTTTTTTTTTTTTAGTTTATTATAATGTGTTGAGTTCCTGTGTCCTACTACTCTTTTACACCCACTGTGGAACTGCCTCTCTTTTTTGGACAACTTTTTTTTTCCTCTCTTTTTTTTTTCCACGTTTGGAGAACACGTGAGTGAGCACGCTCCGGTTCTCTAAGTCATAAATGTGCAGTACTCGTTTCTGAGTGCGAGGTTGGAACCCGGAAATGGAGACACGTTTGGCCGACGCTGGACCTAGGAAATGAGTGGAGAGGGGGCTAAAGTGCAAAAGCCTGTAGGTCTGGAAGGCATCAGTTCCAGGTTCCTGCAGTGCTGCGCAAATCAACTGTGTGGACCAAACATCATAAGAGCAGCAACTACAGGCTGTTTGAAGCACTGTGAGGATCATGTTCTTTGATTTCTATAGTGCTTTCAACACCATCCAGTCAGGACTTCTGAGGGACAAGCTGGAGCTGTCAAGAGTAGACCACCATATGTCCTAGAGGATACTGGACTATCTCACTTGTCGCACACATAATGTGAGAACACAGGGCTGTGTCTCTGAAAGGCCTGTCTCTGTATGGGGGCCCCTGCAAGGAATGGTGCACTCATGACAGACTGTGGACTCAGGACTTTAAGGACTGATCAGTGCTGCAAAATGCTGCAAAACCAAGGAGCTGGTGGTGGACTTCCACCGATCCACCTCACTAACACTGGTGAACATCCTGGGAGAGAACTCACAAGTACCTGGGTGTTCACCTGAACAATAAACTGGACTGGACTCGCAGAAGGACTCTGGCTAAAATAGCATCAACACTTCCCATCCCACGCATGAAGCTGCTGCTGAACCGGAGAACTCCTTCAGTGACAGACTGCTTTATCCGAGGAGCACAAAGGAGCATTATCATAGATCCTTCCTCCCAGCAGCTGTCAGACTCTATAACCATCATTGCTCCCAACAAACTCAATAAGTGTTTACATCCCTGGTGGCATCTACACAATCATTTGCACTGGTTTTACCCATTTTAAACAGCACATCTGTTCTTTTTTCTGCACTGATACACTGTATTGTAAATAGTCTGTTGTGATTGTTTTTAAAGGTTCAATATTATCACATACACATTATGCACATTTTAGAAAAGTGATTATCTCTCTCTCACTATTATTATTATTACTATTATTATTATTATTATTATTAGTAGTAGTAGTAGTAGTAGTAGTAGTAGTAGTAGTAGTAAGGTGGTGCTGTTAGTGTGAATTCTGTTGTTTTTTTGTACATTTTTGACTTTCAGTTGATTGTCTAACATCATACCTTGCTTGAAAGATGACTGTGCTTGTCTAAGAGGCTGTGGTACCAAAATCCCAAACCACTTTAGAGGGTCCTGCTGAGGATTATGGTTTCCTTTTCTGACCAGGTCTTCATCATGAGTTCTCTCTCCACTCACATCCTCACTTGCCTTTTTTTCTCTTACATTTTTTGTCTTTTTTCTTTGTCTGACACCTGCAAGAACAATAAAATTGGCAGATTGGTAGTCTGGTAGACAGTGGACTTTAACATTCTCCATTCGTAGTGGACACATCACCTTCTTGAGGTCCAATTTCCTCTAAGGATGTGTGATCTTTTGTAGACTCTTCACCACACTTTTGTGTAGACTTGTCTGTGCAAAATACCACTTTACCKCTGTCTAGTGTTCTGTAATATACAAACATAAGCTGTCAGAAATTAAAATGCACCCATAGCAGCATTTGTTTTTTTGCAGTCCTCACCTAACATGAACACGAACCAGTGGATCCATCTCATGTGCATACTGAAGCGTGGACACCTGCTTGTTTCCCATTGAATACCGTGCCTTACTCATGGAAAACCATCCCTAAATGTTTTGAGAATAACAAAAAATACAAATACAAGTTGTAAAATAAAAAGCTGCAGATCTCTAGTGCAGGAAAAGAATCAAGTCATCAATTGCAGTAATATAACAGTAACAGTACCAACATTTTTTAACATTTTATTGTTTTAACATATAATAAACATAGCAGTAATCATATGCATGTTTTCTCTCTTTTTTATTTTGCTAGTTGATCACATTTATTATTTGTTCCTAAAAGACTGTTCTTCATTATGATTTTAATTAAGTTGTAAGCATTCGCAAATATACCTAGATATGATTTAGCTATATTTGCTATAAATATGATATAGGATGCTAGGCTGTGTATAGCATGGCCGACCTGCTCGATGAGGGAATTGAGAGTTGCCCTTTTCTTCTCCAGTAGCTCAAGCTGGTCCATAAATTGGAGCAGTTTTTTGTCCAGTAAGAGACAAGAGTCCTCTTCTTCTGACACACCCATGTTGGCTTTTTTAAACAAGAGAAATTAACAGCGTGTGTCGCTCGAGAACTCCAAGCTAAACCCTTCTCAAAAGGACGCGTTTAGCTTCCGCATAACGTCATGTGAYTCCCAGTCACGTGACACACAGACGTGCTACTTAATGGGAACGAATGTCAAAGAAAGATAGGAAGTGGAGAACATTAGAAATAAATGAACACTTGATCGATATTATTATTATTATTATTATTATTATTATTATTATATGGCAATAAAACGCGACATATACATACGTGAAATATCTTAAAGTGCTACAATGAAATTTCTCAAAATAAAAAAGAAACCTWTTGTCAGAWCAGACTAAATAACGATCTGCAAATTTAAAAATACAGTGTTCCCATACCGGGAGTCGAACCCGGGCCGCCTGGGTGAAAACCAGGAATCCTAACCGCTAGACCATATGGGAGCTGTGAAGTATATATCCAAGCAGATGTATTTGTGCATCAGTTCTGAGACAAGACGGACATCTGAACATGGTGAAATGGACCTAAAGATGGACGGGGTGATAACAAAAGATGCAGAGAACAGAGTTGGTGACAGTGGCGAACTCTGACGCAGGAAATAGCCAAACGAARAAGTAAGTTACATTTCCATGGTTCAAATAATATTGTGCGCCACCTAGCGCTAACTCGTCATTGATTGGMGACTTATCATGTCAATGTAATGATGAGACGGCTTTTCATACATTAGGAGTGGGAATAAACAACTACATTTTTCTTCAATTGCATTTCGTCAAACTGTATGCTGAAATTACTACATTTAWCCCTACGCAAAGAGGGGAGGAAGCCTATCTTCGTAGTGCTTACTGTGGCTGTGTCATTCATGTCCACCAGTAGCGCGCCGTGATCGTATAGTGGTTAGTACTCTGCGTTGTGGCCGCAGCAACCCCGGTTCGAATCCGGGTCACGGCAGGGAGTGATCCCTGACACGGCTTGTGTGGATCTTTTTTTTTTTTTTTTTCATTAAATAAGGTGTTAGAGTTTTTGAAACAATACAATATTTTTTTCTGTAACTGCAAATGCAAACACCACGATTTGTAACCTATGTGCCCTGCTTTTCTTACATTTTTACTTACCCCTAAATAAAGTCCATTTGTCAGTCACGATTAATTAATTGTGCCAGTCATATTTTTTGGCTCGCTATAATATGAATAATGTGAATATCATAAAAAACTATGGATATATTTAAGGTGATTTGCATGCTTGATTTGGTTTCAGAAATCAATTAAGCTATGTTAAAAGTATAAATACAGACTTAAAGTAGTTCCTCTCCTGCAAATATTTTATGTATCCTGAGATTAGGAGTATTTCCTAATCTGAATATTTGAAATCCTCAATCATAAATCTTTTTCTTTCTTTTTCTTTTTTTCCTTATAGAAAACAATGCTATAGGAGCGATTATTTCTCATCTTCAGCTAATCTTTTCTCATTGTGTGATGTTTGCTCCATAATTTGCTGCTATTTAACTGAAACCAGTTTTTTTTCTCTTTTTTTTCTTGAAATGCTTCGTTTGTTTCTGGAAATATTTTCATTACTGAAGCATTGATCGACTTCTGAGAAGTTGCTGCAGCCCTCAGCCTTTTCTACTGAAAACTGGGACGAAGCATCTGAAATGTTGCTTTAAGTTACATGTGAGGAGCTCGGTTCCATTTGTTCTGCTCTAAAATTCTATAAATAAAATTAAGACAATAAGGCACAAAATCTGAAACTGGTTGTATTGTTTCATGCTTGGATGGAACTGAGTTGCAATGAGTTAAAAACTGAATATGGGTTTAATTTCTTATGAAGGAGTACTCTAAAGATAAACTTGATTTTTGATCTTAAAATTATATATGTATATATACAGTATA